GTACCCCCATATGAGCTATAGTCTAAACTCCTAGTATCCCCCTAAACAACTCCAAAAATACGAACCCTATATAATCCCCTTATATAACCGCTCTTTAAGGAGGTTCTACTCAAGGTTTAAGGTCGAGGGAGTAGCGGAGGCAAGCCTCACTCCAGACGTGTTTGTTGCATGCCTGTTCCAGTATTCATGGAGGGGGTTGGCTGGGCTTAGTCCATCAGCCTTTAGTGACTGAGTTCGCAAGCTTATACTTAGTACAATGATCGTATAACAGTACTGGGCTTATCCCAGGCCAATGTAGGCCTCCACAAGGGCGACATCTGACAACAACACACCTGGAACTGGAACTCCCTCGATTTCGAGCCGAATGCCCCAAACCCTGGTTTCTTCTAAAGAAAGACATGACTGTGTATTCCTTTTTTTTGACTTCACATCAGTCACTGTACCCAGATTTATAAAACTCCCGCCGGCGGACAACAATTAATTTCTAGGGGCTTCTTGACTACATCTTAATTGATTCTCAAGACATCTTCAGACCGAAGTTGTTTGGCAGTGTCATTCTGCCCCCCCGCCCCAAAAGTGGAATAGATGCATGGGGGGGCATGTTTATGCGAAGCTTCCATGCCACCATCAATGGGCTCTAGTGAAATTAGAAGTACAAAAATAACTTAAACATGACCTAGAACATGAATCTTGTGAAGAGGCAAAAGTTTGCATGCTACGTCCTAACAGCCCTCTTCAGCAATGAGTGCCCGACAGCTTGACAAAACGCCTGAAGGGCTCTAGACCTGGATAGGCATATTGAAAAAGATTGTTGTCTATAACAGTAAATGTAGGTAGACTGTGGGACATGAGAGGGGTACGTAGGGATACATACGGTCAAAAGGGACGCACAGGGTTAAATATGCGGAGATATAAATATATATATATACACATATGTATATATGTATATATGTACATTAATATAAACATATACGTGTATATATGTATATATGTATGAGCAGCATTTGGGGGGACCATCTCGTTTTGCAGACTAAACGTATGATTTCCAGGACTTCTGACTGACGGTAGACATCGTTTGACGGAACCTTAGTCCGTCGCTTATATATATATATATACATATATATATATATCTTTCACATATACAAAGAGACAGAGGAATATAGTTTGCGAGTTAGGGTGCAGGGTTTCCAAAGATCAGAATGCCAGAAATTTTCACCCGGCTCTTTTGGATGCGAACCGCGTCAGTGTGCCGGCCTGCGGGTCAAACCAAACAATGAAGACGTTGGGTCGTTTGCACACTCGGTGTATTGGGCGTAAAGGCAATCCTTGCGATGCAGGGCCAAGGGGCTGAATTTTCACGGATCGAGCCTGCGGCAGTTGGACATCTTCGTCCAGCGCGTGAGGTGGTTTCACACCCACTGCGGGCAATCCTGCGGGCCCCATGGCAGAAACCAGAGTGTGCTATCTCCCATTACGGATGTGCAGGCAAGCTGTGCATGCCTTGTGCAAAGCTGTACCGCAGAAAGTAACAAGACCTCCTGATATGGTCAGAAGATCACAGGCTTGGTAGATGTCCCCTACTAGACAACAAAGAAGGGGTCGCAGTCTAGTATTGGGCACTATAAAGACTCTATCCACAATCAATCAACTGCGTAGGGGTTGCTCTGCATGCCCCAGAGGAGCAGCGGAGAAAACAAGGGCCATACACTCGGCGCGGTGGCTTGCAGTCCTTGCGACGACTTCATGGATCCGAGCATCTAATCCACGTGGAGTATATGGGGTTTCAGAAATTAGAGGCCCACTTTGGGGGGGGGGGGTTCCTTAAAACCGAGATTCCAATATTTCCGGGTGCATGTAACAGGGGCCGCTGAGTTTTTGAAATTACCCATGTGAGGAACCACGGGATCTGTCTATAGATAATATTTAGTACCCTAAAATCTAAGAATGATACCTACATTGAGAGATTAACTGGAGGTCTTTCGAACAAGTTCCCTAAACCCTAAACCCTAACCCTGAATCCTAAACCTTTGACAGAAGCAAGGGCGCAAACCGTGCAGGCAGGAGGCCAATCACGCACGGCGCCGAGAGCACGCGCTGCTGTAATCCCAGAGCTCAAGAAGTCTCAAAATGATAGGTTTAGGGTTGAGGGTTTAGGATTCGGCATAGACTGCAGGATTTCAGGTATGTGCGACTTATAGATGCAGAGCCCCAGGGTAAGGCAAATCTACATGGCTGACGAATCTCTGTGGGCAAACTTGCGCCGAGTTCCGCCCGAAACAACTTTAAGACTTTCATGGAGTACAGCTGCCCCACTTGATTCAACATGCTGATATCTCCCACCAAATGCACATAGCGAGGAAGAGACACAGGGCTACGTAAAGAGCTGTAGCACATGCCGGACAACAAAAAAAAAGTGCCGCCTTTTTGTGCACTTTTAACGCCGCTTGAGTTAAGACCTGCCCCAGTTACATACTGATGGACTACTGAGCCACGTAACTAAAGAATATCTAGAACCCAGAACCCACTATTCAACATTCACGTTGACTGGTCCCCAGGGGTTCACATCTACGCTAGAGCTGGCGCCTGGAGTTGTGCCAGTAAAAGACGTGCCTTTCCCATCTATGTGGAGCTGCGGGTTGACATCGAGCAGCTTGTTCCAGCAATACCCTGGGGCTCTAACCCTATAAATAATACCTACATTGGGCCCCAAACCCTATAAATAGTACCTACATGGAGCCTTAGGGATAGTCTAAACACCTAGTATCCCGTTTAATAACCCCTAAAGTAATTCTCCATACAATCCCCTACATCACCTCCTAGCAGGACTTTAGACTATAGCTTATTTGGGGCTTCTAAACGGTTTAGAGTCTAGGGGGGGCTGCTGTTCAGGGGGTCTCTATAATTCAGATTTTACAATATTGGAGCTGTATAAGGGGGTTCACTTATGGAGCCGGCCCCCTTGTGCACATTGACAGAACCAAGATCCCCACATGTACAGTTCCTTAGCCTTCCATGAATTCGGATGCCTTTTGGTCAAGAACCTTCATGACACAGACAGATCGTGGAAAACAGGTCGCAGTACCATAGGACCTTAAAGGAAATCCCTAAACCCTAAACCCTAAACCACTAAACCCTAAACCCTAAACCCTGAACTAAACCCTGAACCCTAGGGCCTCAAAATTCAAGAGCCACGACAAAGCATACGGCACATTGCTTTACCCGAATCGGAGTACACACTGCTTGTTGCATGCTGAAATTGTGAAAAGATTTCCCCCTTTCCCTAAAAATCGAGCAGAGGTACATCCTGTCCAATCAAAATCCGAAGGCCTGGAATAAGGTCATTCAGAGATTGCGCTTACAAAATCCCCGTTGGGAGTGAGATCACAAGATCATCAAGAAGATTTTGCTGGCACAGCGTTTTGCCCAGGGAGCACAATAGCGGCCTCAGGAGCCTAATAGAGATCAGACCATAAAGCATATCACGGATCCCCGTATCATCTAGGGTGCAATCCTTAGTTAAGGTGTGTTTAGGACCTCCGGACGTAGAGGATGCTCTGGGTAAGGACTTCGGGTTCAAAGTCCGTGCTAACACTCGTCTTGGCTTACCCTGGGGCTACAGTTGCCTAAAGAATGGGTTCTGGAGAACTGAACACTGAACCCTAAGCCCTGAATCCAAACCCTAAACCCTAGACCCTAAACCCTGAACCCTAAAACCTGAATCCTAAACCCTAAAGCCTGAACCCTAAACCCTAAACCCCGAATGCTAAGCCCTGAACCCTAAAACCTCAACCCCACGTGCATTGCCCAGTGGCTATGGGGGGCCCGAAACTCAAATGAACGGGGCTTAGGGTTTGGGGTGAAGGCTTTATGTATTAGGGTTCAGGCTTCAGGGCCTGCTTTGGGCTATTTGGAGCCGCAAGGCCTTCAAAACCCCTCCTAAACCCCTGACCCCTATAAAACCTGAACCCTACACCCCTAAACCCTAAACCCCTGAGCCCCATAAACCCTAAATCCTAAACCCCTAAGCCCGATAAATCCTAAACCCTGAACCCCTAAACCCCCCCTATAACCCCTAAACCCTACACCCCTAAACCCCTATGAACCCTAAGCCCTAAATCCCAAAAAGCAAAGTTGGACGGCAAGGCGAGCTGCCCACGAATGAGTCAGCGCTAGGCGGGTTTGTCTGTGGATCTGTTGAATGCAGCATATGAGTAGCAGTTTAGGGTTTGGGGATTTGAGTCGCGGTTTTTCATGGTTGAACACAGTAAGATTATAATCCGTATATTAAATACTATACCACAAAAAGAGGATGTAATCGATCCACATTGGAGTCTATGCGAACAAGGGGCAGCTTTGGCCGCTCCAATAGCAAATAATCTATAAGGTCTGTAGTATCCCCAAATAGAATACTACTCATACGAGCTTCTTAAACCCTGGGTGGTACCTTGGGGGTGAGGGCGTTATAAACTCTTTTTAAAGGACTGATTGGGGCTAGATACGTTTATAAAGGGGCTAGGATGGACAAACATGTGCACAACCAACTGGAAAAGCACACGGAACATGAAATGAGCTTGTCTAAACTCCTACCTAGACCCACCGTGTATGCGAAAAAACAGCCCTGCCTTAAACAGGGCTACAAAGTAGCCCCACTGCTATAGCACCATCCGAAATAGCATACCCAAACAAGAATAGCCCTCTAAAGGTCAAAATAGCCCTACTCCATTTCATCCATCCGGTTCTCAGCCCTATACAATTATCATAATCTCCAACTAAATCCCAATTTCATGAAGCCCTGATAAAGATGTGGAGGAGCCTTCGAAGTTGGCGTTCTGCATGGAGGGCTCTGATTGGCAACATAGGCTTCTGGAAGAATACAATTTGGGAGGGGGCTCAGATTCGGGGCTCAGAAAAGTTTGATTGCTTGGTTAAGAGCATGGAGGTTCTGAGGGTGCCATTTTGGCTCAACCGCACAGCTCGATGCCAAGCTTGCAGCCTGGAGCTCAGTCACACCTAACTCGATTGTTTTTGAGGAGCATCTTCTTCTTCACTAGATGCCTTTGGAGGCACCGTAGCGATGTGGTCTTGGCATGGGTAGAGCGGGCCACCCGAGCAGTTCTTCCAATGAAGTCCTCATCCTGAGAGCAGTCCTGTATGAGAAAATTTGGAAAGCACGGAGATCCATTCTGGAGAGCGATATCAAGATCGATAGCAAAATGTTGCAGCGAATGAATCGTGCTCTTGAGTCCAAAGCCCGGAAAAGAACGCTTCAAACATTGCAGCGCAAGGAAATTATATCCTCGCGTGACTCGCAAAATGTGGTCACGTAAAGTCCTCATACACTTTCTCGGCAGCCAGAGCCCATGCCTGTAGAGAATACGAAAGATTTGCAAGCCCGAATCGCACACCTGGTCCAACGCTGTCACGAGGCTCATGTCTTCTTTGTGGGCTTCCTGGTCCTGACGCTGGACCAACCGAAGCTCAGTCCTAAGCCACTGCAGAATGAGCGTGGAGTCTGATCCCTTGTAATTTGTGAATGGGAAACTATCCACTCGAGCTAGATGTAAACCGTCCTTGGTGAAGTTTCTCAAGTTCGGGCTGTGATGCATTGCAGCAGCCCACAGGGCAAACCTGCTGTGAGCACGCTTCAATCGGTTGTGAAGGGCAACGGAATCACCAGCTTCATCAAACCATTTCAAGCGTCGGCAAAGAAAAACAATGCCAGAGCCAGTGATGTCTCGAGCTAACCCTATTTTGAACACATGCAGAAGATCTCGCTTGTATTTCCGCGCAGGGCAGGTAGCATCGTACGGAATTTGCTCCTGCACGCCAGGTCTTGATGGGCTCCATGGAACTGTCTCATAAAGTGTTTCCACCCATTTGGGATTGCTGCTGCAATCCTCAAAGGGCATAGAGGGGTCACCCCCAAGGCATTCAGGACAGATGGGCCTTGAAGTCACATCTCCCAAACGGGTGTAGCACCGATCAAAACGACCAGTGCTGGCATGCCATTTGGCATCTCCTTTCAAAGACACCAATGCACAGCAATATAGTTTGCCACCCGCCTCAATTCCCGACATGAAGAGGTTCTGCAAATCCTGCGCAGTAGCTGAAAGCACAGCCTCCAGCACTTCAGGGCCTTTTTTGACCAAGTAGGTTGGCAAAACACACATCAAATGCCTCTGCAAAAAAGAATGCCCCGAAGATGTAGGCAACTGCTTCTGAAGTTCCAGCAAATCTTCGGCATCCAGTCGCATAGTAGAAGCCTTGCCCTTCGGGCACTTCTCAGGCACTGCGCAGCACTTGGAGATGCAAGATCCTTCTCGACAAGACGAACAGGCGCCAAACTTTTGAGCTTTCACATGTTTGGTGCCTTCTGTTTCTTTGCCCCAAACACTCTGCCAGCTGCAGATGCTGACCGGTTGTTTCTTGGACCCCGTCCCTTCGTCGCCATGAAGTTGTATGGGGATCAGCTGACCCAATCCATTGTCACTGAAGCTAGAAAAAGCTGTGTGTGTAGGATGGGACCAATAATACCCTTTCCAAAACGATTTGCATCTTTGACGCACGTCCTGAACGCCATCGCCCCAAATAGCATCAGGATAGGATGTGAGCATTTTCTTCAAGTAGTCTGATGGTTTGATGAAAGGCACCCGCAAAGGTTCACCCTTCAATTCCAGATCCACCCAGCTAATTTTGACCCGCAATGATAAGCCAAATCTCACCAGCACTTTGTGAGTAGCCTTCTCCGCATCTTTTTTGCCAATGCACGCAGCACTTGCCACAGCATCGCACTGGCAGGAATCCAATCTGGCCGCTTCAGCTACTCTGACCAGGTCAGTGCAGGCAGCCTGGGAATGGGGCAGGGAGCCTAAGTATAGCCCTAAACCCAAACCCCTAAACATCAACCCTAAACCCTAAACCCTAAACCATATAGGGCGACCTCCGCTATGGGTTCTATAGGCTTTCAAAATGGAAGACAATACTTCGCAGGTTACCCTCGTGGAAGGATCCCCGTCCAGAAGTATGAAACCTTGCCCCGACTCACAAACAAAGCCTTCTAAAACCTGAAGACTACATAAACCTTGTCATTCCCGTGCTGGCCCAAACACATTACAGAACTGCGTACTGTAGGATGCTGAGCATTGTGGAAGGCAGAAATCTTGCACCACTTCAGGGACCAAAGTTATATAATATAGGGGATATAATAGGCTGTTGCAAGGTTTCCACCTTCCACAATATATACACATTTCTCCTTCAATTCAGTGGCCCCATCACCGACCATTTCAGCAAGGCGGTGCATGAGAGCACCAGCTTCAGGTTGTCGAGTAGAGGTACATTCATCACCTGGCATGAAAGTCATCCGAAATCTTTTTGTCCGAATTTCAGCTACACACAGAGGTCAACATGGTGCAGGGACGCGAACAATTTTGGCAACCCCCTCGCGTAGACTTGCTCGTGGTCACAGCAATGAACGTCTATACAGGGATCTGCAGCCCCCAAGATTTCTTCCAGCAGGCAAGCTAGAGATGGGTTTCTTGAGTTTACATTAATTTACTGGGTGCACGTGTACCTCAGGTAAGCATCAGCCTGCCTGCCACCCGAAAGCCGAAACATAAGCTTGCAGCTTACTTAGCCTTCTTCTGCTTGGATTTGTCACCTTCAGGCGGACCACGTTTCAGATTAACCCTCGAAGGCTTCGGCGCATTTGATCTTCCCGCGTTGGTATTTACTGCTTGACCGGCTCTGGGGAGTAGCGTCCTGACATATATGCCACTTCTACGGAATTACGCAGTAAAAAACCCAGGAACCACTATAACCATGCTCCTGCCGCGAGACTGTGCACCCTGAGCTTCCACAGCCCTTGGATTGGACGAGGCTTGCGATTTTCAAGGAAGTTAAACCATAAAGGCGTTGAAGGGGGGGTGCCTATATACTGTTGATGCACGAAATCTTGCACCACTATAAGGGCCTCTAAACTATATACTGCAATTCCTATAGGGACATAAGGTGGTGCAAGATTGCCTCCATCAACGGTATGATAGCAAACAATTTGACATCATATTTTCCAGGATGCTTGCAGGAAATGATGACTCGCATGCCTATAGTAGCCTCCAAAGAGATACCAAAAAACTATGATTGTAATCGATATGTTCAAGAGCGAGAGGCAGCTTCTGGATGTCAGAAATATGAATTCGCAGCTGGTCTTCTTGCCTAAGATTCCAGGGCTCAAAACTGAGTGGGTTACGGTAATACAGGATTGACAGAATCAAGTCTATAGGAACCGATACACTGAATGCCCCATAGGTTGCAGGATAGTTTGACAAATCGACTTTCACGACAGTACCTGATATGGGTTCATGCATATGCTAGCAAGCGGCGCCTTGCCAAAGCCATCAATGACACCATCTGCATGGATTTTCGTTACTTCTTCATCCTTCTGGTCTAGGGCCTCGTGAAGCCTTGCAAGCTTCGCCTTCATCCTGGGCTTTGGGGTGGAGGATCATAGCTATCTGAGCCCCAAAAATGTGTAGAATTGTTGCTTGAGCAGGGGTTTGGGCCTATCATGCTAGCTACTTTTGGTATTGCTGTGCGATAAACATTGTGCAAAACAGGGTTCCGCGTCTGGATAGGGGTGATGTCCTCCGAAGGGATGGCATCGAAGCTCTTAATCATATCCGCCAGCTTCTTCACATGCTTTGTGGCACACGCCGTCATTTTCGAAGCATATGAGCTTGGCAGGGCATCTGGGTCTATCTCAGGTACACCTGCCTTTTTCCGCATGTCTGCCACCTCCTTGTTCTCCAGAGGCTTCACCTCTTTATCCACATCGATCTCCCCCAGATCTCCTGACAGAGCATCTATATATATACATTACCCTATATAAACCTCAAATCCAAAACCCTACACCCTGAACTCCAAAAGTATGTAGAATAATGGTCTTTGGGCTGTTATCACCTATAGGCTGAATCAGAACACAGAGCGTAGCCCCTGTAAACTTAACAAGCCGTATGTATGACAATGCCCCATGGTTGCATTTATGATATAAGGGGTTTGGGCCATCATTCTACCTACTTTAGGGGTTTAGCATATAGTATGCTATTCGAAACTTGTACAAATCTCCATATGGGGCTTTGAGAACCTTACACCTATACCCTGGCAACATACGCCGGCTTTCCGAAAATCCTACCCTTTTCCATGTACCCAGACCTGCCGAAGGCTTGCTGGACAATGGGCAACCCGATGGCCCATCTGATGAACCCGCCACTCCCTCAGCCAGGAAAGAGGATGTGCGGCGCCGAATGTTGCGCTCACCTTCCCTCAGATGATGCTGTTTAAGCTATATATTCTTCCCATGGGTTCCCCTAAACCCTAACCTAAACCCCGAAAAGTATGTAAAATAATGGCCGTAAACTCTATAATAATAGCCCTAAAGGCCATTATTTTACATACTTTTGGGGTTTAGGAAACCCTTAACCCTAAACCGGGGTTGAGTGCATGAGATTGGATGGCAAGTTCAGGGCTATGACAACCATTCCTCTTTATCTCTCCCGTTCTCTCTGGCATTATCTCTCCCGTTTTATCTTGCATTCTTTCTCTCCCACTCTCTCTCTCTCTCTCTCCCCTCTCTCTGTCTTTAGCTGGGCCTGGACCGCTTAGAAATTAGCCATGCGATATGTTTTTGGTATCCACCGCAAGACACTATAGGAACAAATATTCCCACAAAGAGACATGGCATAGCCGCAAGAGTACAGGCGAATGTGGAAATCACCCCCCCCCATGCAGCATCAACAGAACACCTGCAGCCAGAACACTTGTGGGTAGCCTTGATGGCTTTCTCGCACCAATAGAGGATCAGATTTGGTTCATATCGATCCCTCCTTCAAGTAAAGCAAGGAAGACTATCTCAGCACACACACGCACACATTAGCAATGCCATTGTAGAACATCTCGAGAAGACCCCGTCCGAAGGAATTTCGCTGGGTTTTCGCAGCAATACGCCTTTATGGCAGCCACCCTCTTCCTCAGACGCATGGTTTCAAGTGAAGTTTAAAGCAAGCAGCAAGCGATCAGCCAGCTAATGCAGCTAGAACTCTCGCTGAGGCCCTCATCCAGCATTGCTTGCTCTGTAAGAAATTCCCCCTCAATAACGAGTTCATCTTCAAAATACGTCTCCACAATCTCAAACAGTTCTTGCGTGAACTCTTCCTACAAGCCATGTACATTGCTGAGCGGGGTAACGCACATGCTCAGCAGCATGAAGCCTATACACATGAAAGTCGGTCCACGTTATAGGCGCAGCTTGCTAAGACTTTCTCGAGAGATTTACGAGCGGCACCCTTCTTTTGGAACTCCTGGACGAAACGGACGGGGACCTTGAAGCTCCCGTCTGTGCGAGGTGTGAAGACGCGCCTGAGGCGCTTGTCAATGGCGCCGTGTGAGAGGGAAGTGTGGTTCTGCGGTGGAGCCTGAGCCTTGGCATCCCCTTGCACTGGAATGGTGCCCAGTGGAATGCTCTTTCCCTTGCTATCAAGCAAGCTTAGTGCGTAGCTCTCCGGCACATCATTGCTTTCAATTTCTGTCTCCGAGAGTGAGCATCCATCCTGCTCGTCTTCGCTTGTGTGCTTGTCGTTTTTTGAGTTGGGCTCCTGCTGCTCCTTCTCTTCCTGCTGCTCCTTGTCCTGCTGCTGCTGCTTCTTTTCCTGTTGCATCTTCTCTTCTTGCCGCTCCTTCTTTGCCTGCCGGTTGTTCCTTTCCTGCTCCCGCTCCTCGTTCTTTTCCTGCTCCTTGTTGTCCTGCTGAGGCGTTTCTTCCTGCTGCTTCTCTGTTGCCTTTGCTTCATTATTGTTGCTTTCCTTGCCGCCTTCAGTGTCTGTGAAGCCAAAAGTGGGCTGCCTGTCTTGACTGTACTCCTGAAGCGAAGGTCGAGCAGGTGTGCTCGGCGCTGGGGACACAGGCTCCAACGGTGCAACTTTCTGAGTGTCTGCAAAGGATTCAGACTTTGCAGCAGGGAGGCTCACCTAAGCCAATTACAGCCGCAAGTTTTGGGGAGTTATAGGGTTTCTGGGGATGTGTAGGGCTTCAGGGTCCACACAATAAATCATGGAAGGGCTATGCAATCAAGGTACAGGCTTGTCGGTCAGCGTTGTAGAGGTGGCATCAGGATTGTTAGATGATTTCACATCACGTCCTCGACCCTTGCCTCTGGATCTTTTCAGATTCTGGATCTTGCGTAGCTGCTCCTCAACATCCTGATCAGGCCTATACAAGACTGTCTAGGAAGCCTTTGCATGTAACTCACACCATATGTTTGCCTGGATCTGTTGGTCCCGGGAACGGACAGGATCTTCCGACATGTCACCAGCCGCCAGGAGCTCTGCAGGCTGGTTCCGAGCAAGACAGTTTACTCCCTCCAACAAGGTACCCGTAGACCACTGCCGGCTAGCAACCGGTATCATATCTACCACAAATGCGCTTGAGCATAGGAAAACATCCAATCAATAGAAAACAGGCTTCAGTTCAGGGTTGTTGCGCGGCACCTCAGGGTTTCAGTTTTTGAAGTTTGGGCACAGACAGGGCATCCGCCTGATTCCGCCCTAAGTCCGCCTAATTCCGCCCTAAGTCCGCCTAATTCCGCCCTATAATTCAGGGTTCGGATCCGCTGAATTCAGGGTTTGGTTTTGTTTTAGTGTGTTGATTTATAAAATAACCTCCCAGCTCAGGGTTCAGGGTTCTAATTCAAAGGTTTATGGGGTCCAGCTCAGGGTTCAGATCTCCAGCTCAGGGTTGGGGCTTGCAGTTTTTGGATTCAGGGTTCCAGCTCAGGGTTCAGATCTC